GGGATGGAGGGATGCAAAGAGACCCTGATGTGTGCAATGAGCAAGGAACAAAGTATGACCCCCCCAGTTAAATAAGTGCAACTTGTGTGTGCACAGACTGCGCCTAAGATGTTGATTCAATATTCACCTTTGGACAAAAGATCACTTACCAGTTCTGCAAGCTTGCCAGTTCCCCACAATTATCAATGCTCTTTGGTCAGATTCAGACCACTGATCCAATCGTGAAAGGTCATTATGCCTTATCCTGGAACCATCTAGTCATTGTCTGTTTGAAAAGTGTTTAAAATAGCAAAAAATGCTTACAAATGAACAAAACATATGTAGGACTGTTGCCAACTCTCGTGACTCAACTGTCAAAATCTGGTGATATTTGGTGTTTTCTTAAAGCCCCAGATCCAGGATTCATGCGATTACATAAGAATCTCCACTTAGTTAGTTTTCAGCCTTCAAAGTTGTGAAGAAAAACTTGAAAACACGAATCCTAAAGGCTCAACAACCATAGGCAGATAAAATGAACCCCCACCTTTAAAAGTTTTTAAAATCTCATTATTTTTGAACCAATCTCACAAACATTTCAAGTCTGACTCATGAGTTTTTGAGCACCGGGCAATGATTTTTTGGCAATACTGCATTCTGCTCCTATTGAAGTCATTAGCGATTTTTGTTTTTGTTTTTCGTTTACATTCAGTTCAAGAAGAGCAGGATGGGGCCCTGGTCTGACATTAGAACATTGGAAAGTTACAACCTGCCAATTTGATTTTAGAATGATGGATTAAAATTAAATTATAGTGCTGAAAACCAACCTAGTTTAGTCTAGAAGCATGGCTTTTCATTTAGCAAACAGAGTCAAAGGATTTAGTAAATTGCCAGAAAAGAGGAAAAACTCAACGTGAGTGACACAAATGCAGTAAAGGTATTTACAAAACAAGTATATATACACAGTGTATATATACACCTGCTACTGTATTTTCCACTCCATGCATCTGATGAAGTGGGTTTTAGCCTACGAAAGCTTATGCCCAAATAAATTTGTTAGTCTCTAAGGTGCCACAAGGACTCCTGGTTGTTTTTGCTGATACAGACTAACACGGCTACCATTCTGAAACCTACAAAACAAGAGTTCTTGGATTAATAAAAAACCTTCAAAAAACAACAAATAACTCTTGATCCACAGGCTTGGTTTAGGATAGTTCCTGAAACTCTCAGTGGTAATATTTCCTATTTCCTTTCATTCCATAGCCAATCCCTTTTTTTATATCTTTACAAATCACAGCACCCAAAAGGTTCAGACATTTTCTCTGGGACACTTTTTATTTTTATTTTGCTACAGTATTTAATTTACAAGCTTGGCTGATGGTCTCAAATACAGTTATTGCCTTCCTTTGCCAAAGGAGGCTCCTGTTAGATTTGTTATAGATGGTAGCTAGTGCCTTCAAATAGTCTTGGTTAACAGAATTAGGCAACAATGTTTTCATACGAAACATAGCAGCCCTTTTAGTCATTGAGTGGAATGTTCCCCAGTCTTGCAAGAAATCCAAATTTCAACCTAATTTGACTTGTTGAGATTTCAAGCTTGTCCTTCGCTCACAGAGCTTCACTAACAAGTTTCCTCTATTTTGTAATGGACTTCTCTTTCCCACTGTAGGCTGTTGAGATTACACATCCTTCTTCCAGGCACCAAAGCAAAAGAGCAAAGGTATTTGCAAGACTTCAAACACACTTACTGAGAAAGGTGAAATGGGGAGGCTGCTGGCAATGCCTTCAGAGGAATGATCACACAATTTTTCCTTATAGGGACACTGTCAAGTTGAAATCTAGTCATATTTTAAGAAAGGAGATTCAAGTAGTGTTGAATACCACACAAGCCCCTGAATCCCCCTGCCAATTGTTATGGATTTACCATTGCATAATCCTATTTTGTCTCTCCCCTGTTGCTATGCAGAACATGCCTACAAACAACGCGGGGAGGACTAACTGAAATTGGCTATCATATGCACAAAGTATACAAACACTTTTCCCCCCTCTCATTTCTTTCTGTTACAGTAATCTCAGTCGTTGCTTGTTACTAGCTACAAAATTTCAGACAGAAAAGTAATTTCCTGAATTGACTGTTTCCCTTTAGTTTGGATTTACCCGACTGCAGGGCCCTAACCACTCCGACGGAGACAGATGGTGTGTAACAATCGAAATAGAATATAATGTGCAGGAAGGCCACCCAGCTGGCCTTACCCACAAATTGTTTTGACCTCCAAGTATAGGTACTTTTGCTATGTTCTTAACCAAGCATTTGATAATGCACCATAGACCATGTGAGCTATTTCTGCTAATAGAATTGTCATATAAAACAAGAATTAGTACCATCTGCATTTTACAAAGGAATCTGAATAAGGTTCAGTCTGGGCTCAGATGCTGGGTTACAGCGGAGTGACCTTTGCACTCCCCCCCAATCCCAGGCTGCTTCTGTGCTGGTCTGGTACCTTGGCATAAATTGGAGCAGCTGGAAAACTGCTCTAAATTACACCAGCTAGGGACTGTCTGGTCATAGTTTCCAGCCACACCCTTTGCACAAACAACAGGGCAGAGAGAGGGAAAGTGTAGGGGCAGTTACACTGGCTCTATGTCACTGAAGGATCGCCCTACCCTTGGGGATCCTCCTTTGGCCAGTTATGCGAACTCTGGAGTGGCTTTGCACTGGCAATGCAGCACAAAGTACCCAGGCCACAGTGCAGGGTCTGGGCCAGCAAGTGCAAAGTGAGCTGCTTTTTAAAATTAACTTGTCTTTTATCTCTTTAAAATTTACAATAGAACAGCTTTAAAATAGTTTTGTAATAATATGAACCTAAAGTATAAGGATCTTTGATCTCTGTATCTGATATACTTTTAAATAAATATTTTTAGCTATAACTCTTGAAGTTTTTGGTGATTGGGTGCACAGACATTTAAACCAGGTTATTGGTTTTTTTAAGAGTTGAAATTAACAGTTGGTGCTTTAAACAAACTTAATATGCTTAAACAGTGAATGCAAAGTTACACAAACTCAAAAACACGCTAACTGCACAGTAATTATAAATGCAGCACTGTAACAACTGAATGCATGCTTATCAACACTCCATCAGCAGTTTACAAAAAAACAAAAACAAACAAACAAAACAGGAAAATACGAGAATTTCTTTAAAATCAACTGGAATTAAATAAATAAACCCAGACATAAAGTGATGTACTGATCCAGCCAGTAACACTTCAGGATATAAAAGTGACTTTTCCTTTCTCTTTTTAGATTAACCCAGCATTACAATACCGTAAAACAGAAGGCCCTTCTTGGGGGAAAAAAGAAATTATTGTTCTCATATTTCATTTAGAAAGCAAAAGTTTTGCATTAATCTAGACATTTTAAATTGCTAGTACTATAAAGCTGCAAATGAGGCTTCCTAAGGTGTAAGTCAACTGAGCCTCAGAGATGGGGTACTTAAAAACAAAATCCACACATGCAATTTTTTCTGGAAAATAGTGATTTCAACTTTCACTTAAAAACAAATACTTTAGCATGAAAGTACATTAGGAATAGTCAAACTTACTAGAGGGACAATCCACCTGCAAATGCAAGAAAGCATGATCATGTTCTAATTCTGAGTGATATCTTGATGATTTCACTTCATGTTACTTTATACAGTAAATGCCTAATCCTGGACATACTCCATCATACAACCCTAGTAAGCATTTAAAATATTGGGTGGAGTGAATTGGAGCCCCCAAGCATACTGTATCCTGAGACGGAAGAGGAATCATTTCATACTAACACTCACCTCAGGACTCCTCCACTGACTAGTCCATTACGGCATTAGCAGAAGCAGCTGCCATATTCTGGCCAAGGCTAGGGCAAAGGTCCCTATGGTCCAACTTTGCCTTTTGCTATCTCGTCAGTGGCTCTCTCCCCTACATATACGAAGCACCGTGCACCAGCTAAAAACAGCAGTTAATTTAAAATAATTCATTATTACAATTTAAAAGTAAATTTGTTTCTGCCCAGATTGAAAAACAACAAGGCATATTTAGTGACTCACACCTCAGTCCTGGGAGCAAAGCCAGAGTAAAAAGTGCTTTGCCTGAAGGAACTATGAGGGAATCCTCATCTGTGACTGCAACCCATGTGACCTGGGGCACCTGCACAGCTGGGTCACTTCCAGTTACTGTCAAATAAAGATAGCATGAGCAGCTACAGATGGCTGCTCTCCACTTACGCCATGTTATAACAACACAGGTCCTCAGACGATGCCCCGTACATATCCTCATCCCATGGGGAGTTCGTACCGAGGGTGAAATCCTGCCATTGACTTAAGTGGAGCCAGGATTTCAGCCACCTCTGTTGTGGTGATCCCAGGGCCGGTGCTTCCACGAGGTGACCCTAGACGGTTGCCTAGGGCAGCAGGATTTGGGGGGAGGCAGGGGGTCCTTCCGCTCCAGGTCTTCGGCGGAAATTCGGCGGCGGGTCCTTCACTCACTCCGGGACCCGCCCCCAAAGTGCCCCGAAGACGCGGAGCGGAAGGACCCCCTGCCGCCGAATGCTCACAGGAGGAACGCTGCCGCCTAGGGCGGCAAAAACCCTGGTGCCACTCCTGGGTGATCCCTGTATTGCATAATGTCATTTAGAGTAAAATTTTCTAATGCATCAAGTGTCTGAGATGCCCAAATCTTGTTTTCAAAAGTAACTTAGGCACTTGGAGCCAGGGCCATCTCCAGGCACCAGCTTGCCAAGCAGGTGCTTGGGGCGGCCACTCCGGAGAGGGGCGGCACCTCCAGCTATTCGGCGGCAATTTGGCGGACGGTCCCTCACTCCTGCTCGGAGCGAAGGACCTCCCGCCGAATTGCCGCCGCAGATCGCAATCACGGCTTTTTT